AAAGAGCCCGACACCGCCGCCTCTCACCAAGTTGCGAAGCTGCGCCGCCTGCTCTCGGTGATAATCTATTTTGCAGAGCGAGGTCGGCCGGTATTTGTCCACCCAGAGGCTCATGGTTGCGATCCGCCGACCAAATCCTAAAGGAGTGAAAGAACCGAGTTGAAAAAGCGCGCGCTATGACCACAACACCTCCAGAATTCCCGCCCAGCACAGGCTCCTCAGCACCGGAATAGCGTAACGGCGCATGCGCTCCATTTGAACTTTCGACTCAATTCTCCAGCGCTCGTTGTCTTCCGGCCATTATGTCAGCTACGGGGGTTGTATTTTTCAGTACGGTGGCTGGGATGGGATAAAAGAAAAGACGCAAACTACCGCTCTTGGAATGGAAGGTTGATGAATGACTACACTGCCTGTGCAGAACACAGAAAAATATGATGATGGGGAAAATTCCCTGCGTGGAGGTGATGTTTGTAGGACTGCGCTTTAACTTGGAGGAAAAATTATTTAATAAGCCTGTGAGCTAGGCTCATCCTCATAGGCTGTGTCGTATTACCCATTCATCCGTGATTAATTGAATCTTGCTTTATTCAAGCCAATTTTCCTAGATCGCATGATCCGCTGACCAATACATTAACCTCCCGGGCTGGATTCACACAAACTGCTTAGCACTTGGAGAAGAAACAGTAGAAAATCCTAGGGGTATGGGCTGAAATTGGGCGGCGGGGGAGGGGGGGGAATCCCGCAGTAAACAGTTCCGAACCACTTGAGTATTGGAAAAAGATACAGAAACGCTTCCAACAATTCACCAGAAGCTGAGGTCAACTCGAAGATTTTACCATTTTATACTGCAAGCTGTGCAAACTCAGCCATTCTAGGCTATGGTGTGATGGGTTTTCCGATGTCTTGAGAAACCAGAGAATATGATTTGTAAATCATGATTAGCTTGTGTGAACTAGCTGATTGTGCTTTATTTACTGTTACTGTACATGGTTAAAGAGCTTAGTATATTGTGTGAATCCAACTTGTGTACAATTATTTACACTGCTGTTGCTTTGTTTGGTGTGTCATGTGAATCCAGTAAATTAGGTTGAGTAAACCATGGGTAAGTTAACCATGGATATCTATGCCCTGTAAACACAACCTATTTGTAGAATGATACTTCCCCACTTTCACAGTTAGCATGGAAATCAATTGAGCTGGCAGAGGAAGGATGAAGCAACTAGACTGCATTGAAATTCTCAGCACCTATGGCTACAGAGGGAGGAATGTATTCCAAATACATTTTTGAAAATGCATCAAGCCAAATATCTTTTGTACTGAGAGGTGGGATACCTCCCTTTCTCTATCATTTACTTCAGTGCATCTCCTTCATTACCTATGGCTCCTAAGAGAGTGCTGAAATCTCTTCATTTATTATTAGGCCTAATATATTTAGGCAACAACTTCATCATTAGGGCTGCAGACTTTAAATCAGTTTCATTAGTTTTTTGTTTTTATTTTGCTTTTGTGAATTGCCTTGGGACCATTGATGAAGGGTAATATGTGAAATTTTAAAATGAAACCAGTTGCTATTTTATATTTTCTTACAAGGGAGTAAGAGCCACTTAACCAAATGAAACATATTACTTAGGAAATGGAGTATTACCAACTATTTTTAGGTATATTTATTCAGTAAGCCTGACTTACTGTAGTAGGGTTTATTCCTCCTACACAAAAGTCCATAAGCTTCCCATTCCTATCTAATTAAAAAGTAGATCTTATTAATGAAAGTTACTCCAGAAAAGTGTATAATGTTGCTTAATTAATAGGGTCAGCTTTCATTGATAAAGGCATAGTTTTTCAGGCTACTTTGACTATTGCAAGTCTAAAAAGGTGGTGAAAATGAATGGTTAAAGTGAAGACTAAGGGACATTATTATCAAGCTGAAGGTTGATTTAGATTTCATTTAGTTGCATAGCAGATGGAAAAGGGGATACAGCTATTATATCTTAAATAAAATTATTCTTCAGTAGCTCTAAAAATATTCGGGGTGCTGTTAAGATGTAAATATATTTAAAGACAATCATGTTAGTCAGCTGAAAATTCTGTTAGAGTAGGAGTACAAGATAATAGGATACAAAAATCTGTATGGCAGCAAAAAAAAGAAAATGAAATCTTTGCTGTTTTCCAATTATTATCTGGATTTTTGAGACCCTACATAACCCCTGTAATAAGGTCTTTCTCTACAATGCTACATAGGTGCATTTTACTTTCTGGAGCAGAGGACAGAAGCCAATCAAAGACATTTCCAGAGGAAGAAATAAAGACGATCAGACTGATATAGTTTAACACATAGCTATGCAGATGAGCAGAACTAAAGCCTGGGGAGTATGGTGAAAAGATTAAAATATAGAGCCTGCATTTTGAAAAGCTGTGTTAACTCTAAATATAACCATGTTCCCTTGAGCTATAGAAAAAGGCAGAATGCAAATATTGTGAACAATATGCAAGATGATTGCCTCAAAACAGCCAATAAGAGGCATAAGTAATGCGCTCAAGGCAGTCTCCTTAGATGGGCCTCCCAGCTGTACCAGTTGGAGAGTTACTGACCATGTTCAAAGAAGCACACCCTTTGTTCACAGAGTCTGATCTTGGAGAGGAATGGCAGCAATGGCAATTCAGGGCATTTACCTAGGGTTAAAACAGTACTGGCAGGTCATATCAGTATAGAGCTATAAGATCTGAGTTGAAGAAATTGGATAACCACTAGATGGAAGTAGAAGGTAGAAATGTATGTATCTCTGCTGCCATCTAATGATTGTCCTAATCAATATGCCCCAAGGCTGGCTGCTCTTGCCTGCAGTCTGTTTCCACTTACCACTCTGCTTCTTCCTATCACACTGTGGTAGGCAACTGCCAGGTAACTCTGTGGGTGCATGCTGGCCCTGCTGCAGACCACAAGCCAAAATTGTGGTATCAGGGGACTGCTACCCCTGTCTAGACTGTATTTATGTCATTGGAGTCCACTGTATATTCATTGCATGTTTAATTCTCAGTCCTCGGCACTTGTGTCTGGATGCTCTTCATATAAAATATATTTTTGTTAAAAACGTATGAGCATATCTTGGTACAGTAATATTGGTCTTCCCTGATGGTCTCAGTCTCAGTCAGCTGTCACTTCAGTTTAGAATTATTGTCCTTTCCTCATGTCATGATGGTTGCATAGCTTCAAGACTGCTAATTACAAGAGAAAAAATATCCCCTTATAATTGACAGATGGTTACGCTGCTGTCAGGCTGATGTCATCCCAATGAAGTGATACAGTAAAAAAGAGTGACACTGACTACATGAGACAGGTCCATGTTTTAATATATCAGGTTTCCAACTTCAGGCCAAGGGAGGCAGCAGCTGCTCTTTAAAAGCCGTGAGCCAAACATACATTCTTGTTTGCTAATGAAATGAAGATGAAGGGCTAAGGCTAGGGTTAAACCCTAGGGTAAAGGATCCTTCCATGGGGCATAAATTGGTTGGCAAGAAAGGCTGTACTATGAAAAGGACTGTATGTTTGCCTAGACAATGGGAAGCAGTAGAATTTAGATTACAGTAGATTCAATAGAGCATATTCAGCAAAAATACAGGTGGTCCTCAGCTTATGTCCATTCGTTAAGCGACCATGCAAAGTTATGGTGGTGTTAAAAAAATGGATTGTATGACCAATCCTCGAAGTTCCAGCCATACATCGCAGCACCCCAATTACAACGTCACAGGGAGCCACCATCACGTGATCACCATTTTCGACCTTCCCTACTGGCTTCTCACAAGCCAGTCACTCTGATAAGTCCTCCCAGCTTTCCTGCACTTGTGCCGTGCCGCGCCCTCCATTCTCTGGCCTTCCTGTACTCGTGCAGTGCCACACCCTCCACCCCATAGCCTTGCACTTATGCCGCGCTGCGCCTTTCACCCCTTGGCCTTCCTGTGCTCATGCAGCACCACGCCCTCACTCCATGGCCTTCCTGCACTCACACTGTACCTTCCACTCCACAGCCTTCCTGTGCCAAGGGCTGCATTTTTTTCTTTTCTGGGAAATAGAAATGCTCTCTGACAAGGTCTATGAGGAAGCATGGTTTGGGATGGGGTTAAAATTTTGAGCCTCATTAGAAAATGTAAGGGTTTTTTAAAAGTAAAGTACATCCATTTGCTCCCTCTGTAACTCTAAAAATCCAAAGATCTGTGTTCCAGCAGTTTAGTGCTTTACCAGCAAATGTTGGCAGTGCAGTAGAACACCGACAAAATCTCCAAAGGGGTCCTGTGGTCTGCTCACTCCTGCCTTAAGCATATTCTTTCCATTTGTAAATGTTTTCATTTCTTTTCACCATGTCAAAATAATGGCAGTGATTATCTGTCAAAGCTTTCAGGGTTTCAGTTTCTGGGCAAACTGAATAATCCCAGATGTTTTCTATCTACTGGAAGAAGAATTGACAAAAGTCAGATAGAAGAACTTGGCCTTGATTATGAAGAAACAACTCTAGATCAATTTACTTAATTAAATTTATGGGGCCACCCAACTCCATCATGACTTCTCAACTACTATAAAGCTGAACCTTTTCACTGTCTTACTTAACAGGTACCATAGCAGTATCCTGTTGATTACTGAAAACATCTGAAAACAGCTCACGTACTTCCGTTACTTAATTTTTAAATAAGGCTGGACAGACATAACTAATTCTGTGCGTCAAAGACTCCAAGACCAATTTCAAACTCAAAAGTGGGATCATATGGTCACTTTAATGATCAAAGTATCCATTGAAATATGCTGTGAATAGTTCAAAATGTGTTGAAAACATTAATTCATGCCTACAGATTTGTGATAAGAGAAAAATTAATTCTGTGTTAAATGTTCCTTACAGATTTGTCAAATGTTCCAGTAATAAGAATAGTTCATCATTTACATTACATTTGGAGGAGTGGCACAAAACGAATATAAGGGAAGGAATAGCAGCATGCATTCTGAACTTGAGATTTGTTGACATGTCAGGGCTTCACACACAAGGGTGTGCATTAATGTTAGAAAAAATGGAAAATTGCACTGAATGGAATTCATTTACAATTTTAGAGCAGCTGCCAAAATTCACTGTAAAGGCATATTGAAAATAAAAGGAAAAACAAATTAATTACAAGCAACTACTAATGGGTAATTAAGTAAATGTAGTCTTGAATAGCAAACATGAATAGTGAACTAATGGTTTATGTTATTAATGGAAAAATCTTTGCTCAACTTGTA